TCTCTCTCTCTCTCTCTCTTTCATTTATCCAGACCTCTGCCTCTTCCCTGTTATTAAAATCTGTCTTTACCAGTATTTTAACTTTTATTATATCTATCTCACTCCTCATTAAACAGCAACAAACCAAGTGATGCTAGGCAAGGATGGGTGTGTGGCGACCCTAGTGTCCATCCTCAGCTCGGTGCCGAAGACCCACTGGGCGAAGATCAAGTTCATCATGGAAACCCTGGCGCTTCTAACAAAAGCTAGTGAGTCTGTCTTGTCCATTTTGTTCCGGTTTTCAAAGTCCTCTACTTCAAAAAATGAATATTTCTTTTTCCTTTTATTGTTTGAAGTATTTCCTTTTTTTTTAATTCCCTCCTGCGATTGTTCTTTTTATTTATTTTTTATTTTTGCCTTTTTATTATGCAGCTGTTATGCAGTACTTTTTAAAAGCTTGGTATCCGCCTAAGGTTGTTTTTTATCTCGAGATGACATGATTTATGCCGTTTTTCATTATTTTTATTAAGTTTACGTAGTAGGTACCACTATTCAGTGAAATCTCATTATCTTCCATTGGCTATTTATCTACTATTTTAAGGATTTAAAAGAGGCAGCTAGTTTTTGCATTGTCACAGATAGGTGTGTGTTAGTTTCAATGTGTACTTAATTCTTTATCTCTTAAAGGTTTTTCACTCAGTTTGAAATTGATATGTGATTTAGAGAAATTTATTTAGTTGTTTGGTAGATAAGTTTTCTCCAAAACATATGACGGACAGCTGTGACAATGAAATTACATAGCCTGTGGAAAAGTACGTTTTGAAATTTCTCCATCGACCTATCATTTAACTGTTATTAAAGGAACACTCAGTATCTTGCCGAAAAGCTGAATGTTCATGTGTATGTACAAGTTATTTTTGAGGTTTTACTGTGAATTCTATATTATTTCATGATAATTTTTATATTCCTTTATTTGCTTTTAGGTCATACGCAAGCAGAGCTGATGTCCCTTCTTTCGTACCATTTTTAGAAATTAATTTCTTGGTGTTTTCTTATTATTACGTTCTTTTTTCGCTTGTCATATTTCCTCTTTTATTTCCCTTCCTGAACTAATCTCATATATTATTTTCCTCGTCTTTCTTTCCCTTTTCTTTTCTGGTTTATGATATGCAAGAAACCACAAAGCATGGTGTGTATGTGGTCTAGATATACACAAAGAGACGCTAGAGGAAAAGAAGGAATATATTTTTACATAGACATTTCAAGTGGAGGTTTAATACACAGAAAAAATTAGTCTAGAAAAAAAATAATAATTGGTTACATAAAATCGATATTTTATTTAATATTATGATTTTGTTAAAGTTCATTCACTAAAGGAAACGTGAAAATTATTTACTTATTTTCAATGACGAGATAAACTATTAGGAGTCAAGACGCTTATCTTAACACTGACATCAGATAGTAAAAAAATTCATTGACAAGATTTGTTGAATTATTGTAAACCTGCTTTAAGAATGAGTAAATAAAAGCAACTCTAATTTTGTTTCCATTTTAGGTATATAAACGGCTTAAACTCGGACAGTTAAGATGTATCTAAACAGTTAATAATCTAATCATGTCTAATTCATGCTACATTTCTTTAAAAAGGCTATGATGTGGTATTACCGGAAATTATACACATATGGAAATGGGTAAACTTATCTAGGTTTTATTTTTATTTTCTTTCCCTTTTATTCAATTAATATCTCTGTCTGTCTTTCCTTAAGGTTTATTTCTTTGAGTTTTATTGTTTTCTTCCCCAGCAGGTTCCTGAATTCCCTTTACTACTAATTAGTCAAGGACGTCTCTCTCCCTCCTTTTGCTGTATTCTCATTTTTTCATCATAGTGTTTTTTCTGCACTTAGTCTGTTCTCATCCTTTTAAAGACAAACTCATTACAGATTGTTATGACAAGTTTGAATATATCTTTACCAAATTCAAACGTGTAACTTTGAAATCTTTATTCATGGTCTCAAAAATACAATGAGTGTGCCTACAGGGATGAGAATGGAAGCAGCTGATCAGTGCAGTGGTAGCATTACACATATTTCCTTTCCTCCTATCTAACTGTATGTCACTGGCAAACACTTTTCTCTGTAGCGAATGTGAGCCCCCGTCTTGCAGCCATTGTACGGGCTAACGGCCAAAAACTCCAGGCCCTTCTTAATTATTTCTTTGGTAAGGGTGCTTGTACCGTGTGGATGAAAATGCATGTTCAGCCTCGTCCATTTATGCAGGGAATGGAGGGAGGTTCTCAGTCGCAAAACTGCTTCTATCGACTGGTGGTTGCTGTTGTTGATGTCGTGCGGAAAACCCAATGCTCAAGTATTCGGAGGATGAATAAAGCTCAGATTGGAGCTCTTAACATTCAAACGTGGGGGATCAGCATTCTAGTAACTGTTTCTGTCGGTGGGGGGCCTAAAAGACATCTACAGATTCTTGAACAGTTGGGTTGAATCTTTTGTAAAATGGTATTAACATC